AGCCTCTGTCTCTTCGCAGTGGAGCATCAGGAGTCAGAATATCCAAGCAGAAAGATTCTTCCAGTTGGCGTTTTAGTAACCTGGTTGCCTTCTCCAACTTCCCTGCTCCCCTGGTCTACCTCTGTGGCGCAGCTAAGCCTTCTGCAGCGAAAGCGGTGCACGAGTTGCGAAAACGGCATTCTGGGGGGATACATATGCATGGAAAAATTGTGTTTATACTTTTTGCGCAACATGCACGCTAAGAACTCAACATAAGTACCCGTCCTCCTTGCGCGCACACGTATGGACACTCACTTCTCACAGTTATTGCAAAAGAAGAAGGCTATTGCAGACTCGATCGAAAGATTTTGAAAATGAAGATGAATGACTAAAATATGAACTACACGGCATTAAAAATACATGTATTTAATCTATGCACTGACATTTGTTCAAGACCCTCCAAAACGACCCAAGCATTTTCTCCGACTGTTTCCGGGTCGTGGTAGTCGAAGCTTCGTTGAACTTTGCCCCTAGGATAGGGAGTTAGAAAACTCGCATTCCGGTTCCGCAAAAGGTTCTCCGCGTTATTGCCGTAAGGAAGGCTTCCAGGCCATTGAGTATGTTTGGCGCGACAGCTGCACCACAGAAGCGTTCAGACTGTTGTCCGCGGATCCTGGACGCGATTAACAGTTATATCTCCTGAAATACAAAAAATAAAAAAATATAAAAATATAAAGATATTAAAAAATATCAACAAAATACAAAAAACAGTTATATTGGCGCGCTTCTGAAACATTACCGCACATTCGTTTTGAGCGCCCCAAATAGATCGGCACGACTGGGGTTGTCTGAGCGTTTCATTGTCGCAAGACACACTGCCAATACGCCCACGCGGTCCAACCACACAGTAAGCTCTCGTCCAAGCCCTATCACTGGGCCTTTGTCGGACTTCTGAGTCGCCTCACATAAACAAGAGACGGTACCATCCTCGGTACACACACCTCCGCATCCCCCTTGCTCCAATTAACCCGGCCTCGACAATCTACATGTGTGTATTTGGGGTGTGGGGGTGTGTGGGTGTGGGTGTGGGGGGAGGAGGAGCGCTCCGCGCGCCCAGTCTGCGCGTGTTAGGCATGTTTCCTCGGTGGATGAACATGCCTTTCCAAGCGGACAACTACATTTTTGATTGCTGCCATCTGGGGACAAGACTACGATCTTACATGCCACTGATAAAAAGGGCAATATCACATGGGAAAGTTGTTTTTGGTGTCTCCAAAAAGTTATGAATGCCCTGATCGCTGTTTTTTGGGGGGAGGGGGCTGGCAATGTGGTCTCCAAGAATGGCCTGCAAATATTCTGGACGGTTTGTTTTATCATTCTAGCATAGGTTACTAAGTTATCTTTCTAGCACGTGAAAAATTCGCTTCTGAATATAGCCTTGAAGCCACGTAACTTGAAATTGCCAAAAGCTCTGTCCCCGGAACAGTGCAACCGAGAAATTTAAAGATGTCATAGGGTTCTTTATGGCTGATTGCAATACCGTGCGACCGGATTTAATTGAAATCCGCGAGGTTAGAGTGTAAGGCACTTGACGCATCGTGCAATGCCGCATACACCTATCATTTGGAAGCGGATTGTGTGCATTATTTCAAGCATGTATTTGTGCGGACCAGAGGCAGTGGAGACGGAAACGACAGACAGACCCACTGGTCTCGTAATGTAAAATGAACGGTGAAACCGAGCCTCCACATTTGCGTGGAGAGTTAGTAGAGAAATAACGTTCAAATATTTAAAAAAGACATGTGTGGTGAATGTTTTCCATCCATGACGTACGCCTTTAAGTATGTAACGGTAATGCTTGTTCATCATTGCCATCTATGCACTGAAAAGTGCCCATGAGGAAGTTACTACGGCTTTCAGCCATGGTGTCATGTCATGAAGTGTACACGAAAATGTATACTCTGAGGAAGTATACATCCTGATCCTGCAGGCAAGCTTGTTCGCTATACATCAGTAACACCTGACGATTCATGTTTCCCACATTCCTTCCTCAATAATAACTACTGAACAAATACGCAACAGCAACACCCCGCCAAGGCGGCTTGCTGCGGAGGATGTTCTAATCGGCCTAGTTGAACACCTTTCCAAGGTCGATCAGTGCCTCTGATGATATAAGACCATCGTTACTGGTGACCAGACGCGACGACAGCGAACACGACATCCTCGGCTGAGTGGCGTGGCTTATAGGTATGCTGTGATGGATGCAGAAGCTCTGTTGCGTTCAAAAAGCCCGGTAGCGTTGTGTGTGCACTTTTTCCTATGACCTCAGACAGCACACTTCCCTGACAGCCTGGTCCCCTGGCACTGGGACTGGCACAACGCAGGCTGTCGTTCAGGTGTCTGGGAGCAATTTGGTTGCGAGACAAGATGCCTTTACTACATCGTTGCGTTACGAGGTGCGGCTCAGCGAGTTTTAAAGGGCATCAACTGACGACTGAAATGCATTCGCCCACCGTAGAAAGTGGGACCTGCGCCATGCCAAACACACGCAGCGCACTCGAACCCTGAACACGCCGTGACAGCTCCAGCGGCGTCACGGATCGAACTAGTCAGCCAGCGGCGTAAATAGTCAGCCAGCGGCGTAAATAGTCAGCCAGCGGCGTAAATAGTCAGCCAGCGGCGTAAATAGTCAGCCAGCGGCGTAAATAGTCAGCCAGCGGCGTAAGCAGCATAGCGTAATAGTCAGCCAGCGGCGTCTAGTCGGGGGCGTCAGCCGAATAGGCCAGCGCGTAATAGTCAGCAGCGGCGTAAATAGTCAGCCAGCGGCGTAAATAGTCAGCCAGCGGCGTAAATAGTCAGCCAGCGGCGTAGGCAGTACCCCGTCTGGGGCTCATGTAACAGGCGATGGCTGCGTCCTCAGGCGGATTAGAGTGTGGGGTCCACGCAGGCGAACTGACAGCTGATTGGAGTGGGGCCCACGCAGGCGAGCTGGCAGTTGATTGGAGTGTGAGGCCCACGCAGGCGAGCTGGCAGTTGATTGGAGTGTGGGGCCCACGCAGGCGAGGCGACAGTTGATTGGAGTGGGGCCCACGCAGGCGAGCTGGCAGTTGATTGGAGTGTGGGGCCCACGCAGGCGAGGCGGCAGCTGAGCATGTCAGCCGCCATCTCAACTTGCCCCGGACTCACCGCAGCCGCTTCTTCACACGGGCGGTGGTAGCGCCCCCTGGGACAGCTGCATCAGCGCCACCTGCGACGAGGATCAGCGGCGCCGCCGGCAGGCAGGCAGGCTCTCTGTTACCAGGTGGCCCTGGGAACGACTAGTCCTGGGGGATGCCTCCCGATCGCACCCACCCCACTGGAAGCTGGCTGAACTCGGTCGAGCAGCGGTGGGCGGACCACAGACCGGACGCCGATCTTGGAGGTCACGCTGCAGCGAAACGCCGCTCCCGTGCCCGCGAGAGCAGGCACTGTCGCTCAAAATAGGTGCAAGTCACCACCAGACCGTCAGTGCGACCCGGAGCCGTCGGCCACCAGACCATCAGCTGGTTCCGGGGACTGCCGCCTCCCGGCAGCCCCCGGATTGGTCGTAGTCCTATGTCAGATCCGAGTGGATTTACTACGGTGTTGCTACTAACAGCTTAAGTGAAGCCCAGCGTAGAGGACGCCGGTCAATGCGTGAAATGTGGAAACAAATTGCCTTTGCCATGCGGTCGAACGACGACAGCTGCCAGCATACGGAGTGCCCACAACGACAACCAGGTCTTCGGGATGAATGACGCGAGCACGTGACGCAGTAGCGAAGTGTCACACCGGCTCCAGCAGCGGCCACACTCACGCCGTGCCCGGACTATAAAAAGTAGGTCGCGAAGTCTTGCGCTCACTCTCGCTGTAGCCAGGGGGCTCGCACTACCTGCAATCACATGAACATCCGTGATTGCAGGTATCCTGCTATCCTTTCCTGGTATCCTGGTATCCTTTCGTGGTATCCTGGTATCCTTTCCTGGCATCCTGGTATCCTTTCGTGGTATCCTGGTATCCTTTCCTGGCATCCTTTCCTGGTATCCTGGTATTCTTTCCTGGTATTCTGGTATCCTTTCCTGGTATCCTGGTATTCTTTCCCAGTATGCTGGTATCCTTTCCTGGCATCCTGGTATCCTTTCCTGGTATTCTGGTATACTTTCCTAGTATCCTGGTATCCTTTCCTGGTATCCTGGTATCCTTTCCTGGTATTCTGGTATCCTTTCCTGGTATCCTAGTATCCTTTCCTGGTATCCTTACTTGTCTATCCTGGATTAGCCCGGATGGAATGTGGTATCCTACTGGCAGTGCTCGCGGGAAGTTAGAAGATGCTGTTTGTGTATGTGCAATGCGTGCGTGCGTGCGTGCATACATGGTTCCATGGGTGCGTGGGTGCGTGGTTGCGTGGTTGCGTAGGTGCGTGGGTGCGTGGGTGTGTGGGTGTGTGCGTGTGTGGGTGTGCTTTCGGCTCCCCTTTTTTATTGCCAGCACGCTTTCTTTGCTGTTGCCAGTTTCACGGTCGTTGCGGTATTATGAAACACCTAATAGCTCATGCACAAAACACTTAAAAATGTAAACCGACTAGGTGTTGAACTACCCAGGCGTCAGAGGTAGCCGGCGCATGGCGTGGGTCTGCCCGGAGCGTGTGAAGGTCACGTCACTGTAGTCCGGGTGCACGGCCCATCTGCTGGGCGAGGTAGCCGGTGCGTGGCGTGGGTCTGCCCGGAGCGAACAGTAGCATCACGACACACGTGGCCAGTGCGCGTGCGCTTTTTGCTGTCAAATGATGATGGAAGCAGTATCATTATTTTTTATTCAGTTATTTTTTAGGCGCATTATTTACTTTGACCGGCATTTTTGTGGACATTCATAGCTAAGTGCAGATCAATCCACACCATTGTACGGCGTTTGCAGTGAGCTTCAGCGCGATAAGATGTGCAGTTGACACTGTCGATTGTCGTATCTATTGATGGGAAGGCGTGGAGAGCATGTTTTGATTGTAGTACGATCCATCCCGATGGATACGTGTGCTTCCCCGCCGATTCTAGTTAGCTTACGATCCTACACCGCCGCTCAGGTCAGCGATTACTCAGGAGTCGCAATCTCACAGAACCTGCTGATTGAGGTGAGTGCGCCGTCAAACTGGCATCAACGCACAGCAACACACCGTCAATAAGCAACGCGCGACAGCACAGCGCCAATAAACAACTCACGACACGTGTTAAAAGCATCTAAATACGTAATATAAGTATCACAATACGTGGACAACCGAGCTAGTTGACTCGCCACGTCAACATCGTTGATAGCGATTAGAGCGCGAGAACGAAAGTACCAAGAAAGCTGTTAAGTACACACTGGAAGTTACATAAAAAAGCTCCTGACCGCAGAATGTGTTAGCCAGCCGGCAAGACTTGCACTTGCGTATCTTGTGTGTACGTACGCATCGGCGCACACACGCAAGGACAAGCAACGGTTCTCCGTCTTGTCGGCTTCACACGTTGTTCGCCGTTATTGCAATGGACGCACACGCATTGAAAAGCATTATGGATGTTCACCCGCACGACGATTACACGCGTCTCCGCAGCACAGCCGTGAGGTGCACGCCGGTCGCCATGCGACACGCCGCCGCGTGCATGCATGCATGCATGCCGCACGCCGGACGCCCAGGTATCAGGACGTCCCGCCGCATCCCAGCTGCCCTGTCTGCCTCCTGGGCCGGGTCGGACCGGGCCGCGGGTGCGGGCGATGCCGGTCGCCGAACTCTGGTGAGATCCCGAGCCTGCAGCGGCGGGGCGGCCGGGCCCGGGTCGGTCCGCGCGCGGGCCGAGACGCAGAGTGTGTACGCCTCGGCACGGCACCTCGCGCCTCCACACGACACCGTAAGCCCGCCGGCGGACGCCGCGCCCGCGGGAGACACGCTGCGCCTGCAGACGACACGCTACCCCTCCGTCGTGGGATGCATGGTGTAGCCTCCCCGGCCGCCCTCCTCCTTCAGCTGCTGGTGGAAGCTGCCGACGAGCGCGACCGCGTAGCACGTGACGGCGGCCACCACCAGGCACGCCGCCGAGTACACCCAGACCACCACTGACTTGTCGCCGGTCATGAGGAGCGTCACCATCAAGTAGAGCGCCCAGATCACCAGCAGGATGGCCAGCAGGCTGTACCAGACGATCCAGGGCAGCAGGAGGTATCGCTGCTTCCGCCGCGCCCCGACCAGCAGCAGGATATCCCACGGGATGCCGATGGCCATCAAGGCCAGCATCATGATCTCGACGACCATGATGAAGTGCTCCACGCGTTGGACGGCCTCCTCCTTCTCCTTCTCGTCACTCAGCTCGCCACTGGCCTCGATGCGAAGGATCGGAGGCCCGGTCAAGGTCAGCGCCAGCAGCAGCACTCCCGCGCAGTTGGCAAGCAGGTAGATGACGCCGATACAGACCGCGCCCTTGGCCAGGCCGCAGCAGCAGCAACAGGAGGTAAGCCGCCTGGCCATGG